TCTGGTGCAAAACAATTTCAAGTTCCCCCCCTTTTTTTTTTTTTTTTTTTAAAATTCAGCCCTGTGACCGAACTTTCTCAATATGAATGTGTTCTGGGAAATTGCTTTCGTGAGGAAAATAAGACACAAAAGACACTCAAATGAACATTGAGATAAGTAACGTAACATCACAAACTGGTGAGGATTAGCCACTGATGAGCCACATCTGAACACTAGACAGCATCAAAATGGGGAAAGGTGGTTATTCCAAATCAAGACCCCAAAGAAAACCAAATAACTATTTTCTGGAGTATTGTCTGCTGGTTTTATTATTATTGATTTTATTGCTCCTGCTCTTCCTCTGTCACATGAGAAATACATGCTCCTTCAGGCACCAAGGTCTATTCTATCTCCCTTTAAATTAGAGCTGTACTGTGATGACACTGAGTCTTAATACTGGAAGTTTTCCTGCAGAGTTTAGAAGGACAAGAAAACAGAATAATGCTTATTTTAATATCCTTATAATTTCAGGCTTGTTGCACTGGATAGAGAGAAGTTTCTTCATTCTAGTGTTTCTGAAGTGGCCTGTTGATTGAGGTTTTTTGTTGGTTTGTGTTTTGATTGGGTTTTTTTTTTCATTAACAGGAGTATGCTGTGAACTGTCATGTTATCACCTGGGAGAGAATCCTCAGCCACTTTGATATATTTGCTTTTGGGCATTTCTGGGGCTGGGCTATGAAGGCTTTGCTGATCCGCAGCTATGGGCTGTGCTGGACTATTAGCATCACCTGGGAGCTCACTGAGGTAGGCCACCCATTTATCTTAATTATAAGCAAATGCATGAGACCTGAATTATTCTTGGGGGCAAGTGTGAATGTTACTAGAAGGATGACTCACTAGTTCTCAGTATAGATTTACATTTTAAGCCTTATAAACCAGATGCTGAGCAATTGGTGCAGTTGCATTAGTGGACAACAGCAAGCTGGGGTTTAGGTAAGTGACTTATTACTACTTGAATAGGAGGGAAGTCTAGGCCAGCCTATTGGTGCCATCCATAATTTGTTTTTCTGCTGTTATGGGAGTCAACACTCATGCTATTTCAGATGTTGACTAATATTCCATGATTCAGAGCAACTGTTCTCCTTTTTCACCTTGCAATATCTGTGATCTACTGTTATGATCCCCTTATCCCAAATACAACAGTGTTACGCATTGTGTATAGGCGTGCATACTGTACAGTGAAATGGAGTTGAGGGATCCCTGAGAAAGGTGTGAGGACCCATGAGGAGAAGTCTAAATGGAATGGCAAGACACCATTTGGTGTGTTTGTTTTCTGTCATGAGGCCTAGGTGCGTAGCCCTTCTTTTGTTAAATTGTACCCCACAAGCCTAGTTTATTCATGTTCACTGACATAAAAATGTGATTTTTACTAGACCTGGATCTAAGCTAGTTCACATGCAGTGTAGTCCCCTGCAACATAGTTTGGAGGACCACTGACTTATTTTTGTAACCTAGCTTTACCACAGTTCTCCCAAGCACGTGCTTAAGTCACTTGACTGTTGGCACTTTCAAATCCTATTTTGGATTAAAAAAAATACAGATACTTGACTTGATTCAGTCAATTGACTGTTGCTTGGACTGCTGGACCTTCTTGTTAGATCTGTTTTCAGAATTCAAGCTGATTAATTGCTACTCTAAATATTTTCTTTTGCATGTAACCTAGAGCTTGATTAGTAAAATGTGTTACCTAAAATCCAAGGATGTGTTTCTATAAAAATGACTTTAATTTCATTATATTCTCTGATTGGACAATTCAGAGAAAAAATAAAAATCCATTTTTTTATCAGCTTTTGGGACACCATAATCTAACCTGTCACACTTAAAATACTAAGTGTAGATGTAAACACCTGAATTCAGTCTTTAAAATCATAGTTTTCTGTAGAGCTTGCTGTCTTAAGAATGCTTGGCTCATCTGACAAGGCATTTATAATTCAGAAACATAGATAAGGATTTAGTTGTCTAAAACTAAACTTCTGGGTTTGAAAATACTGGTGCCATGAGTTCCTTTTCAAAACATGTTTTTGTTCTGTGGCATTGAAGGATACGCTGTTTCCTAAGCTATTTTGAAAAACTGCTTAAGATTGGGATTTCACAAGTACCCATCCACAAAAACCAACTTTGCTAGTTTTTGTACTAATTTTTTCCCCTCTGGAAAAAGAATAAATTTGGATTTGTTTCACACGCACTCTTATTGTTCAGTTGATCGTCACACAACCATCATCTTAAATTTGATGCCACATGGGGTGTCTAGTATTCCCTGTTGAAAGGCAGATTATTGGAACAGACAATGTGTTGGGTAAGGTTCAACATATAGAGAGCTTATCACCACTCAGATGGATTTTTAATGGATTAGTTAATTCAGGAAAGTCATTAGAAACCTACAGAAGTTATCAGGGCAGTTACACAGGGACTTAGCTGTGCATCTCCTGTTAGCGTTAATGGATTTCAGCTGGCTCCCTGTTCTGAAATGGGACACTTGGCTCATGCTCCATGCTATCAGATTAAAGTTGGGATGCAGGCAGACCTTGGTCTCTCATTCTGAGAAAACAGCTAGTGCCTTAGAGATGGTCTGGCTAACACCTATGCTCTGGTTTTTGCTGCCTTATCTGTAACTTCTGGTTTCTTTGGCTAGATTATTGCAGATTGAGATTCATAGCCTAGTGCCCCTTTCACGTTAAATTAATTTCAAACATGAAAGGGAAACTAGCAGGATAATGAGCAACATTGTATAGCTTGGGTCTTGAAGAGAAATTCAAATTTTCTTTTCGACAGGTTGAAATTCCCATAGCCTTGTCAAAGAAAGACAAGTTGCTTTGATATACTTTTGCAAGTGTTTTCAAAGGAACTGTCATTGTCAATATCAGTCACTGTAATTTATTATAAATGGACCAGTATTCATTCTTGCTGTGTACAGAAAACATTTTTCTTGTTCCTTTTCCCGCATCTGATTTTTTCAATATTTTATTTATACATCTGTTAACAAAAGATATTTTATTATAAAATCATACCAATAATCTTCAACAGACACAGTGTGTGTACATTAACTGACAAAAATTGTACTGTTTTTGTGGTGGTAAGAATATTCTTTAGTTTCCTATGTGTTTTGTTAAGCATCTTCTTGAGTATTCCAAAGGGACTGCTGAATCCATTTCTAGCTCTCAGTAAATTATGTTTAATCTTGCCTTAACTCTGGCCAGTTGTTCTCCTTCACTCTGTCAAAAGTGTAAAGTCACCAAATGTATCTGTAAATACATTTAATTGCCTTACTAATGCCTCATAGTGGTCTTCAGTTAAGTTGAGTATTCAGAAAGGAATAGATTGCTTCAGAGGTAAATGATTTGTGCACTTTCCAGGGGAAATCTTTAAGGGACTGAATATGTTTTGATATATCCAGATGGTGTCAGCTTTTCAGTCTGATGTTGGTTTGTTTCTGGCCTATTTTCCAGTATCTTCATCGTAAAAGTACCTTCATCATTAGTGCTTAGCGGAGACCAAGCAGGAAGGGAGAGTGGAATATCCTTTTAACTTCTTGAGCCATTCTGGATCAAGTATAGCAGCAAAGCTTGTAGTGTCTGAAATATTGGTGAACTCAATCTTTTTACAGTCACTAAATTTCTTAAGAATAGTAAATGAAAGAAAGAGTTTTGAAATAGAACAAGTGTTAAGTCCTGAACTCCAACATGCTTTAGTACTGACAGTGGTTACAAATGCATCCATTCTACTTACTGCATCTTGTTGCTGGTTTAGAAAACATACTTCTTAAAACTATTTAGCAAAAAGAAAACAGATTCTCTTCAATTTTTTTTTTAAAGCACAAATCACCTTCTTTCCTCCAAGAAATGCAGTAGTTTTGCTTGTTTCATGCATTTCTATGAAAGTTCTGTGTATCATCTTTGACAGGCTGAGAGATGCATGATATCCTTCTGTACAGCAGAAAGGATATCATGCTGAATATATGGAAACAAAAAGGAAAACAGTGAGAAGGAAACCTCTGATGTCTTGTGTGGTTCTATCCAAGGCGTTCTGAAGTTAATGGAAGGATGCCCATCAAATTTCAGTGGTTGTGGCTCATGTCCTTGAAGTATGACATATACTGAAAAGCTGATTTTTGAATGTGTACTTAAAAAGTGAATTTATATGAATTCTGTGCTGTTCCTCACCCAGAATCTTTTTGCTGTATTCTGTAGCTCTTCTTCATGCACCTTCTGCCTAATTTTGCTGAATGCTGGTGGGATCAAGTCATTTTGGACATCCTGCTTTGTAACGGGGGTGGCATCTGGTTGGGCATGGTAGTTTGTCGTTTCTTGGAGATGAGGACCTATCACTGGGCAAGCTTCAAGTAGGTCTAAATTAAAGCTTGATAAACATTATGTTTGATGTTATAATATCAAATTCATTTCCTTGGGAAATAGACCTTCTTCTTTGCATATGTAAAATGCATGTGGTATAGAAATAGCATGCAATCTGCATGTGCTAACAATGCTGTAAACTTATTTTAAATGTTAAAAATCCATCTCATAGTAATGCTACTGTACAGCATATATTTGTAAATATGATTATGTATATATAATTTTCCTTTGCAATCTAAGTTACAAGCACTGACGCCAAATGAAAATGCAAATAGCTTTACTACTTTATAGTTTATTTTGTACAAGTAAAACTTGGAAGAAGGCAGTGAACAAAACTAGCTGTAATTGTTTTCTCATTATACAATGTTTTTAAACTAGATTTGGGCTCACCTTGATAAGGCAATCTGTCAGCACTAGTTGTAATTGCAGAAAAGGAATCAGGCTGATTGTACCTGTGCTGTGAATTGCCTTACCCCATTGTTGACCCTCTAAAATAAATGGAGTAATTGCAAAATAAAGTAGCGTTTGTTGTGTAAAAGGGCAACAACTTTGTGGCCTAGTAAGTGTCAGTTCCTAGCTGTCCACGTATGGTTTCTTCCATAGTTTTCTGCCCCTCTCCTGCCTTCTTCCCTGCCAGTTGGTGGCAAGCATGGTTATCTGCATGTTACCAACAGTATAGATGAAACAGGATCAAGTACAATGAATTGTCAAAAGATATTGCCTTGAGAGATGGAAAAGGAGCTCAAATCTTGACTTCCAGATTTGTACTCTACATGAACTTCTGTACTGCTTTCTTCTTTTACTCACAAATTTGCTAATTGCTCTGAGAACCATCCAGCCTTTAGTCTGAATTCAATTTTCCTGCATTTCAATTCAGGAGGAATAATGAGCATTATAGAGTTGATGGTCCCTCTGTAGAGAGTTCACTGAAAGTTAACACAGCAGAATATCTATGGTAGAACTTAGTCTTTACTGTCTTCGTGGAATAATTTTCCCTCACGTTCTTTTAAATGCATAAGTAGATTTTTTTGGACCTTTAATATGAAGAGGAGCTGCATAGACTAAGAAGCTTTTGCTTGTGCCCTTTTATTTTCTTTTTCTTTTTTCATTGAATAAACACAGATCTTAAAGATTAGAAGGTTCCCCCTAACCTAAGATCCCACTAGCCTAAAAGAACACAAGTATCAGAAATATAAAATCTGAATCTCCTTTTTTGTCCAGAAGGGCCAGGGAAATAACAGGGTGAAAATTGACTTCTAGACCTGCTAGTCTTCCTTCAGAAAAGGAAACTGAGTTTTTCTTAGATTCCGTGTCCTTTGGATGCTGTTGCTCATCTGAATTAATGTTATCAAAAGCAAGAACCAGTAACACATCTGTCAGATGAACCTCCGTTTACATCCCCTTTCAAAAGGGAATTTAAAAGCCTTGTAGCTTTTAACAGTGTTATCACGTCTCTCCAGAAGATTCGCATGCATCTAATATCAGAACAGCAGGGGCTGTGTGTGCTGGAAGTGCAGTATTTTCAAACCTGTGGAGCCAGCCTCTTATACAATTAATGAATAATGAGTCTGACTGATTCTTGAAGGATTGATGTCAGTGAGCTCTAGAACAAGGAGTCTTTGGGATAAGAACAGTGGCAGCATAGACTAGGAAGAAATATTCTCTAGATTTTCTAAGGGGGTTACAGGATTGCAATCCTTGTTTCTTTCCTTCATGGAGAAGATGATAGATATGCTTTGTAGTTAGTTACTGACTGAGGATAGAGGAGGGTGGACTATCATAGCAGAATGCATCCTGACTGAAATGCTTAATGGATTATATTTCTTAATTCACCCTTGCCTGGTACACAGTCGTGTCTGTGAAGATCTCTGCTGTCCAGAGAAAAAGTGTGATTGTTCTGAAACATCAATAATGTGGCTATTGCTTTTTTTGCTTTGCATATTCCTTGTATTTACTCCAGCCATTCTCTTTTTCTAGGGACATTCACACGACCACAGGGAAAATCAAAAGAGCTGTATTGCAGTTCACCCCAGCCAGCTGGACCTATGTCCGCTGGTTTGACCCTAAGTCTTCATTTCAAAGAGTGGCTGGAATCTACCTTTTCATGATCATTTGGCAGGTAAGAAATAAATTCTGTGAAATCAAAGCTGTCATCAGCTCAGTTATTGGCTGTGTTTGGCTAGAAGATACTCTAATGCAATGTATGTCCGTCACTAAAATACACAGTTAAATGAATTGATAATACAGAATTGGTCAGGGCATTGTTCACGGGAGTTATATGATAGTTCAGGAGTGTAATTACAGAATCTGTAGAAAAAAACAAATGTTACAGATTGCTGTACTGGCCATCAGATCGCTCTTTGCAATTGATACAGTTTTAAAAACTGCTAGACAGTGGGGTTTTGGGGTGTGGTGAGGTTTGGTTTTTTTGTTTTGGTTTTGTTCTGTGTGGTTTTTTTCGTTTTTTTTTTTTAATGCGCTGAATTTAGTTTTTAAAAGGAGAACCAGAAGTGTTTGATACACTTTTTTTTTTTTAATATGATCTCTTCTACTCCTCTACCAAATTTGCCTCAGCCATTCATACCTGATTTAGGATATGAAAGTTATCAGAAGACCTCTGCAGTGTGAATTAGTGTCTGGTCTCTTAATGGGTTTCTGGAAAGAGAGCAAGTACTTTCATAGAGGTGTCTAGGGGAGAATTCTTTTGTTTTACTAGTATATTCCTTGCTTGTCCTAGAGCAGGAATCTTAAACTCTTTAAATCCTCAATCTACCCAGCAGGGCTATAGTAGAGCATAAATAGTTTTCCTTCCGTGTTTTAGTTTCCATATTCATCTTTGCACATTTTCTGTAGCAACTCATTAAGAGTTACGCAAGTTGAACACTATTAACTAACTTTTTTTTTTCCTAGCTGACTGAGTTGAACACATTCTTTTTGAAACATATCTTTGTGTTCCAAGCAAGCCACCCTTTAAGCTGGGGGAGAATTCTCTTCATAGGAATCATTACAGCACCCACTGTAAGGTAATTTTGTTGCCATGGTGTTTTTTCTTCAGTTTAAAGTAGCTTGACTTCTAGGCACCCAAGAACTGCATATAGTTTGTGAATAAGTACAGCACATTTCAAGAAACTTATGCTTTTGCCACCATGAAAAGCAAAACAATCACTACTTTTCAATAAAGTGTGTTTTTTGACAAGTAAATTATTAAGGTAAAATGTATATAAACATCTGTGTTTCCATAGGGATGCAGAACCAGTCTGTTCCATCTTCTGTTTGTATAGCATCTCCCTGTTATGTGAGTTAGCTGCATATGTTCTCCTTGAGGACTGCATGTGAAAGTATCCAAGTTGATGAGTCAGATGCTCACAAAAGTGTAGATGAGGAAAAATAAGAGCTGTTCGTTTTTCTAACTGAGCTCCTTATTCTGTTTGTCTACAGGAAGTATTAGCATGTTATAAGAAAAGCTAGAGCATTACCATATTCTGAATAACAGAACAGTATATATGCAGTGTTAACAGTTGTATAGAAACATTAACCTTCTTGTAGTCATGCACACTATTTCACATTGTTAGCAGAGTCCCCTTAATTTTTTTTTTCCTGTGACATAGCTGGAGGTAGACAGAATGCACGCAGTTCGGAAGTTAGAGGCAGGGAATTTCCCATTCATGAGTAAAGTGACATTACCTTGGACAGTTAAATGGCAGCCATGCATTGGTTTATTCCTAAAATACAGCTGTTAGTGTCTCAAGTTATGTGCAGTGATTTCACACTGTTAGTTAAATCACCTTAAACATCCTATAAGCTCCTGTATAGGTGAGCTTTTAAGTATTTTTATGGCACTTGCCAACCTGTAGAAGTCTTTATTCTTAAACAATCCTTGTATTGTTGGATTAATAACACTTGTCTTTCCCATCTGTCAGTGGAAATCAGAGACAGAGACTGAGAAAAGGCACTTTGGTTCCACTTCCTTGGAATTCCCCTCTCTAAACTCTCAAAATTTAGAAGCATAAAGAACAGAGCAGAATGGTCTCCAGACTGTTTTCAAAACAGTGAGAAATTCTACTCTGTTCTTGAGAGGAAAACACGCCAGTGGTTAGAGCACTCACCCAGGATATGGAATAGCCATATGCAGTTTCTTTCAAGATCGAAACCCACATCTTTCAAGAAAATGCAATTGTTAATAAATTAAAGACAAACTGTGGAAAAAGTGGGGGATTCTCTTAATTCTTTCGAAGCTATTGCACTTTGCCTAAAAGAATTGGAGGTTCAGTGGAGAGGCAGGAGACAAATATGTAGCTTTGTTAGCCTACTAGTTTGGGTACTTTCCCAGTCCTTGCTCTCAGGATTGTTTTCTGTGTTGTTTCAAGCTATTCGATGTATGTGATAATCTGTCCTACTAGAATTGAAGCCATCTGGTAGACATCCAGCATGATTGCATGTGATTTTAACCATCAGCACTTCATTTTCAGTATAGATAAATTTGTAACATAAACTTGTTTTTTAAATGTAAATACTCTGGGGACTTTCAACTTCACTGAAGAATTTTCTTGTTTCCCTTCTCAGGCAATACTATGCGTACCTCACAGATACACAGTGCAAGAGGGTGGGAACTCAGTGCTGGGTGTTCGGGTAAGTGTTCTTGCTACATTCTTGAAACACTTGGACAAGTGTTAAGTATGAGTCCAGCACAGGAACAGGCTTTGCATGAGGCCAGTCCTTGTCTTGTGGTGTTTTCAGTATAAAGAACAGTATGGAGAGATTTTCTTTTTTTTGCAAGTTCAGAGGAAAGGAAAATTCTGGATTTGGAGGTAGAACATGGGAAGTGATGGAATGAGTAAGGAGAAGAACGGAAGGAAGAACTAGAAACTGCTGGATAAAGCTAGGCTCCTTCAAAGTAGCATTGGCCTTGCTGCCCATATTCTCAGTCAGGTGAGAAGGATAAAGCTTTTGCCTCTACCACTTGCCTGTCATCAGAGCAATGTTTACCTGGCCATGAAGGTGGGCATTGCTGCTGTTAGTGGAATCACAACAGAAGACAGTGAAACAAGCCACAGTTATCAATTATTTCTATTCTGTTCTCAAAGAGGGAAAAGAGTAACGCTATGAACAATGGTTACCTTGGCTACAATGTCTTTCAACATGTCTCTTGGAGGAGACCTTTAAATGAAGGGTTTGCATGATTAGTTCTGGTGAGAACTTCCTTCTCTAGATGGCTTGACTAAAATGTACTGTTCTGGAAACCTAAACCATATGCTATTGTAGCGTTGTAAAAGCTTCTTGTAAATAAGCAGCGTCATAGTGTCCCTTTTGATTTATGACTTGGAAGCTTACAAATGGGAAAACATAAAAGATCCTAAATCATGTCTTAAAGAAAAAAAATATAGTATGTATTTTAAGAAACTATTCAAGAAGCTAATTTCTGATGGCAATGATTTTGAATTAAAACAGCCATTTCATTCTGTTTGTCAAGATTAGTGTATGTCTTATTTCCAGAATTTTCTGAACCATTTTCATGTTTAGTAGAAGAATCTATTACTGTTTTAAATTGGAATAGCATTTCAGTGAGCCATAACATACTCAGATCTAATTTAGAGACAGTGCTCTGGCAAACTTATCTCACCTTTACTGTTAGTCTCAGGGATGTTACAGAGTTTTAGGAACAGTGCTGGGCTGGAAGGCATGTTTCCAGGTGCACTACACCACTATAGGGTAAAGAATATCCCTTTCTCAACATTTAATTGAGATGAGAGCAGACTGTGCTGCAATGTAATTAAAGGGATTTCTACCCTTGTTTTAAATGTACCCTGGAGAACATGACACATGTCTCCTTGGGTTTGGCTGGGCTTAAATATTCAGCTCTTTCACTGACTTATCACCTTCCTGGATGGATCTATTACTGTCTTCAACTCATGACCGTAACATCCAATGGACGTAAAAATGTAGTAACTCTGTTCTTGTTTAGTTTTACTGGTGCTGAGCAGAAGTTGATAATATTTTCTGTAAGCCTAAACCTCCTTACTTAGGGAGGATCCCCCTCCTCCAAACATGCATTATGATTCCTAAAGAGATTCTGTAACGTACACAGTCCTTAAAAAGGCATTGGATTTTTTTAATGATCATGGCAGAGTAACCTGTCTTTCTGGGTTTGGTATGGATGGTGCTTTAGTACTGAAGATAGCTAATTAATCACACCGTTAATATGACTACTTAATTTACAATTAGAATCAAATAACCTTGCTCTGTTTGTGCATAAACATCTTAGTAGTTACAGATCAACTGTATTAATATTTCGGACATATGCATTTGAATACAGACATGTTACTGAAATCTGCATTTAAATGATTTAGGAGTTGAGATGTTTATATGAAAAAGGAAATTTTCTCAACTATAGATGATAATTTTGGAGTCCTATAGAAGACATTTTAAACAATTTTACAATTTTGGGGGAAGAATTTTCAAGTTCTGCATTATGAAGAAAGATAGATGAACTTGTGTTTCATCCAAGAGAAAGAATTTAAACATATTATTTTGCAAACTGAAGGGAAATATGATGCTGAATGTTTGCCTTCTGGCTCTGAAAAATTTTTAAGGATTACAGAAATCATCATCCTTGGTTCAAAGCTCTCACTGAACACATTAATGTAATATATTTGGGCATCTATTTATTGACATATCTCTTTATGATCACATAACAAGAACTGCAATAGAATATTCATCTACAGTCCTATCTAATTGTGGGAAATGTGCATGGAGTAAGTATTCTCCTTGATACTGCTTGCTTCTGTAATCTGCTAGAAAAAACAGAGCAACACTAGGAGTTCCTGGTTTTTGTAGGAAAAGCAGCACTCTTACAGTAATTCAACTATCCAGAATATAATTTCTGAAGCAATTAAAAGCAAGTATATAGAATATTCATGTCTGTAGTGATCAAGACACACTTCTAAAGGCACAAATTGAATTTGTAACAGCCTAACCATGGGAATAATTAAAATTGGTGCCTTGCATTAGTATGAAACTGTGTTCTTTGCAACTTGACATATACTGTAGCATCACTCTCGACAGATGGACAGTAAGTGGTGTAAGGCATGAACAAGGCCAGTGCAACAGGTCTGCTGGAAATTGCACCATTTTCATTAAGATGAAGCCTTTCAAAAAGGAGTATCTGTTAGGATGTTACAAGACCATTTTGATTGAATAAAACCTTACAGTGTCTTTAGTTCTATTGAGTATTCTCATCACGCTTCAGTAGGACACTAACACCTTTCACTGTTACATTCTTCTGTCTCTTGATTTACCACTTCTTTAACTGTAATAGCTGTCCTATTGTACAATGCACTTCACCCAAGTATTCTTGACAAGAATAATGGAAAGAATGTATAAATGCAGCACAAACAGCTGTATCACTTTTGGAGTCCTTGTTGAGAATAGCCTGTTGTTTTGTTTATACCTTCAAGTATATCATACCCTCATATGTTTGTTTTCCTGATGATGGTCTTTCTGTTCCCACTGCTGTAGTTCAGTTTAACTATTTTTTAATCTGCAGCTGGATCAGTAAGAATAATATAAAACCAAGAAAGAAAAATAGTTGGTGACCCAACAGAGTAACACTGCTCTCAAGTTTTTACTAATATGCACCTCATTAATTTGCAGTATTGGTCGGTTAGGTGTTACTTCCACAATTCTAAGTTTTGGCCCCACTCATCCTGCCACAAGTCACATTAGATGGTACAGAGAAAGCTGTAACTTATTTGCACCAGGACCACCTCTGCAATACCAGTGGTTAAGTCATGCACACATCTTTCCTCCCTCTTTCATGGAGGGAGCTGGGTCCTGTCTGCCAGGCAGTAGAGCTGTTTTTGGCAGCTCCCTGGTTGTGGAGGGTGCTGGTAGGGAATGTGTCCTGCAATGTCGAGCTTGGAAGACCGGAACACTTGACCTGATGTTAAGTGTGCCTGCACACGTTTGAGGAGGAGTGTTCATGCATGTGCTCATATACAACCTCAAAGTCACTATTGAACAAGTTAAGTATTAAACTTTTATAAATTTAATAGTTTTCTTCATGATTTGCTTCAGCTTGAGAAGAGTCAATTTTCTACACTTTTGCTGCACCAGTCACGTTTCTACACTTGTGTTTGTTAAAAAGAGGTAATTTTGTGTCCAGGACCTACACAAGCTAAATATATTTCTATGGCAAGTGATGGAAGGTTTGGATTCATAACACCTTGTTCCACACCAAGTGATGGACAAGCTTCCATAGCTTTGAGCCTGAAAAGATGTAAACATCTGGTAACGTGTAGAGAGCTGGAGATACTTGTTTTGATTCCTATAACGCCAGAGAGGAAAGTAAATATTGCAATTTTTCCTCTTGCATTTCTCCCCAAATCCTCTGATACTGTAATGTGGACCCTGAGTTTACACATAAACCAGAGCAAATTCTCAGAGAATTTGAAATGTTGTTTCATGTTAATTTTCTCATTAAAATCTATCTGGAGCAAGCAAAGTAGCCTATTTAGAATTGTAGTAAATTTATATCCAGCAGAGAAATACTCAAAGCACAGTTCTAGTTCACCCAGCAGGGAGTCTGTTGGTTCTTCAGCATGGAAAATAAATTTATATCTGGTGAGGGCTGAAGCACAATGGTAGTAGGTATAAACAGAAATTCTCTGCTATTGGTGCACACACTCCTGCTTGTTCCCTGGAGAAGCAGAGACTCGTGGAATTGTGAACTGCCATACTTTTTGTATGCTATTTATGCTGAAGAAAAGTATAGAAAGAAAAACAAATTTCCCAAGGAATTTCAGTTAATGGTGGTGTTGGGGAGGTGTGTGCTCACTAGAGAGTAGTGCTTGTTTAGAGCCAACAGTCTGGGGTCTGGGTTGTGAATGTGTGAGTTAAATCCTTAGTGTTTGTAACCAATTTTCCCCCCCCTCTCTCTTTCATTTACCCACAGGGTTATTGCTTTCCTTGAAGCTATTGTGTGCATAAAGTTTGGACAGGATCTTTTTTCCAAAACACAAATACTGTATGTTGTGTTTTGGCTTCTCTGTGTGGTAAGTGAGATTTCTCATGTGAAACATAAAGCATGGCAAAAACATCGAAAGCATCTAAATAGCTTCCTCTCTGGAACATTGGCAGCAGGGACTCATTGTGGAGCAATGCTGGTAAAGAGCTTTGGGCATGTCCTAGGAAAAGCAAATGTGAGATCATTTGGAACACGCTTTGAAAGGACTAGAATAACTTTTTTTCTTATTTCTTGACATAGCAGAATATAGGCACCTTACCAGTGCTTAACAATGAAACAAACACTAGTTATAGGGCTTTTTATCTTTATGAGAGAAAATGTCAGTTCAATTGAGGCTAACTATGGAGGTGCTTCCTATAGTGCCCACTGGAAAGGAACGGGAGTTAATGAATAGCATTAATAAGTAATGCATGTTGTTTCACACTCAAGTCTTACAACTACATAAACAACCCTGCTTTATCAGGCAAATCACTCTCACTCATGCTGCAACTTTTGGTACTTCAGCGTGATTACTGCAATGTAGCATGAAATGCCCATTTTATAACAGTAAGTGGATGTTTGTCTTGCCAGACTTGTAACTCTGATGCCAAACACATTTTTAATGGTCAGTGAAAAATAAGGCATTTATAACGAGCTGACAGATAAATACTTCTTCCTTCTATCTGGGAACACAGTTTGAACAGGTGATAGGGAGTCAGAATTTATTGTTCTCTTATTTACTATGATGACTTTATTCCTGAAACTTCAGAGAAGAAAAGTATTGAATTGCTTCCTGGATCAGAGCACCACAAAACCAAACATGTAATCCCGCCTGAAGCATGGGGCAGGGAGAAGAATTCTTTTTCTCCCAGACTGGTTGTTCTTGATAATATATCTACAAGTGCCTACCAACTGCCTTTGTATGATGACTGTAGAGGGCGAGGACAAAAAGCATACTGACAGTGTATCCTGCATGTATGTGGGTGATCTGTGTGTATTCTCATGCTCCCATTGAGAATTGGTCTGCATACCCCGTGGTGGCAGAATGTATATGTACCTTGAAGCACAAGTCTTACTCATCCTGACAAAAGATGCAGAGAGAAACAGAGCATTAAAGTCTCTGAATGCAGAATCTCCAGGGACTCTGAGACCTTGAACCAGCAAGGAATTTGGAAAAAGTTTTACAGATTATCTTTTCTTTTTCTTCTCTTTCCTTGTTCAGGCCTTTACAACTTTCCTGTGTTTATATGGTATGGTTTGGTACGCAGAATACTACGGCCACCGAGAAAAGGTACGTTATTAGGAAGCCTGTTTTTGTTTTATACCGGAGTTAAAACTGCAGTGCTCCTAGATATTAGAATTCTTTACCAGAGCTAGTATAAGTGGGTGTGAGGGGGGATGGTCCCAGAGTCTAACTGAAGTCAATAGAAAGAACTCTGAATTCAGCGGGCCTTGGACAGATCCCAAATTACACTGTGGTTTCTAAAGAATGCTGTCCTCTTAGTTACTCAAAATGAGGCTGTAATTTTAGCAAAGTATTCAGGGATGAATGGTTAGCTAATGTTCCCATTGTACAGGTGGAATGCTAGGGGAATATTAAGAATACTTGGTTACACAACAGGTCACGTGACAAGGGGTGAGTTCTTATTGTGTCATCTATGTTGTACCTTCTAACTAGGAAGGGAAAAGTCCCAAGTACTGGCTGAATGTTTTATGACGACTTCTGCCACAGTTTAAATTCACAAGTCTAATCGCAAACAGGAGAAGTGCTCATCACAAGAACCAGCATCCCAATGACATGTGTCCTTCTTGTTTTTGCAGACCTTATCAGAAAGTGAAGACAGCCCATACAGTCCAGATGCTTCCTGGCTTCATTCTAAATTCACCAGAGGTACTGGCACTTTTGCACCTATATTCTTGAAGTGGTAGCATTAAGGCTTAGCACTAGGAAATGAGGCTTGAGAAACTTACCTTGGAGACAACTGGACTTATTTAAACATCCCTGCAGGAATTATACAGAAAAATCATCTGCAAAGCGGTTTGGCTTTACTGCCTTTTTTCTTCTAACTCTTGGAAATGTATTTATTTTTTAATGAAGCAACTGATTTTTTTCTGCCTTTATTCCAGGCCATTCTTGTAGGTTTAGGGCTTTATGCATTTCATAACTGTTGTGGACAGGTTTTCTCTCTGAACATTGTATGTTTGATTTGAAACATATGAATGTGAATTGTGCTTTTATTCCTGCTTGTTAAGAAACAGTCAAGAATGTGCTCTGGAGCTTTGTGTTCTTACTGCCTAGTCAACGCAGTGCTCATGATCATAAACAGCTTTGTCCTAAGCAAAGGCAGCCTGCTTCTCTGACTTCTTTCCCTATACTAGAGGTCAGTTAAGTTACCTGCCTCCTCTGTTAACTCTTTAGTGTGGTCTTGCTTATTGAACAAATACCAAGATTCACACCTGGAAGTTATCTCTGTCAGAGTTTATGCTCCAGGTGTTTGTATTACTAAAAATATTTCTTATTTATCATATTATCATATTAATATCATCGTATTTCTTATTTATCATATCACTCTTACTGAAAGAGTGGTTAAACATTGGACCAGGCTGCCCAGGGAAGTGGTTGAGTCCCCATCCCTGCAAGTATTTAAAAGACGTGTAGATGCGGCGCTTGGGGACATGGTTTAGTGGGCATGGTGGTGTTGGGTTGACGGTTGGACTCGATGATCTTAGAGGTCTTTTCCAACCTTAATGATTCTATGTTTGAAAAGCACCTACAGCAGACTTTCTTGATATTTCATACATGATTTTTCTGGGTGCTGATATTAATTTACTCTCAGTTTAGTAAACTTGTGGATTTTTATATTTTGGAGAAAAATTGCTTCCACTCAAAATGTTTTTCCCATTTATATATGCCGAAGAAATCTGGCCAAGCAAATCTTTCTCTGACTTTGTTACTTCATTAATTACAAACTTCAGCCTCTTTCATGTTTTGCTCTTGAATTCTTATTTCAGTCCCCATTGTCTCCCTCTGCTTTCTCAGCGCCAAATACGGTCTGCGATATGAAAGACTGAAAACAAGAAATGTACTCTTACGAGGATCTGTGACCTCGCTTACATAGTTCTTAATTTCTGATAGTAGTACCTGCCAGTAATAAAAATGTGGAGGTTTAATTATTGATGTCGTTTAAAATGGAGGATGTTTCACCACTATATTCTGCTATAGCAAACTTCTGAATTTTTTTGGAGGAGGAAGAATTTTACAGAAGTCTTAAGAATTGCTTTTTTAAAAAACTAGGCCGCTAGATGGAGTACGAGTATCAATCGTATTAGCCTGAAATAATACATACTGTAAACACTATAGCTCTAGAAAGCCTTACTGTCTTCTAGACAAGAGCTTGACAATGTCAAGATACGCATTTAGTCAAAAAATATTTATTTCTCAGCAGGTGCTGACAATAGTCCACCAAAACATTCAGTCAATAGTGAAAGCCATTCATCTAGAAGGAGGAATCGGCACTCCAAATCAAAAGTAACGAATGGAATCGGCAAGAAGTAAGAATGGTCTCTGAAGATATCCTACAGTGTGACCAGAGGTGACAAAGAAAATCAGACCTGAATTGGCTCTGAATTTCCAAATGGAAGATTGATTTTTAAATTTAAAAGTTAAAGAAAGGAGGTGTTGAAGGAAAGGATGATCAAGATGGAGCCACCAGCGTGTAGTGCAAATCATTGCCTGCTGACACTTGCCATTCACGGATTTAAATCTAGTTTCTTCAGTGTGTGGCACCAAAAGCTAATGAAGAGTATGCTGGAAAGAAAAGTAATTTTGTCATAGCAGGTACACCCTGTTTTGTGTTCAGGTGTTACAAGTGCATTTTTAATATCTTAGTTGAGGACTTAAACACAAAGGTTAGTAAACTGATAATCAGTTGGCATAGTTGGTTGGATTTTTTTGTTTTGCTTTGTTTTACTGTGTTTTTGTTGTTTTCTAGAAGAGTGTGCAATCCTTTGACTAAAAGCAACTCTGCCCTTCTTTCTCAGTCTCACGCTAAACTTTTCTGTACAACAGTTAGTAAGTATTTAAAATTTCCATACTTGTATCCATCTGCTTGCTTTTATGTAAAGGCTCTTTAGACCTGGTGACAGGGTTTTACCAGCAAATAAATGGGTCCAGGTTTCTTGTAAAGAATGTGAAACTGATCTTCAAACATGGTTCTTTTGTTGCGCATTGTCCTTCTGCTTGACAGTTACACATTCGATTTCTTTTATGTTTTTAAAATACTTAGATAAAAGCCTGTTGCAAAGTAGAGGGCCGTGCCTCCTGCCCTCAGAGACAGATTTCATGTCACTTAGTTGTTTTTCCTCCTTTACTGCAGCGTATTTTGCACCTTCAAGTGCAAATATGTCACTTTTTCAGCTGTGACACATTGTGTACAATGTTCCTTCCCACTCCCCTCTAATTTGCCTCTGCCTCAGCTGGAACCAGAAATCCCAGTGTCTTCAGACTGATATCAGAAACTGCTTTGAAGGCTCTGATGCCCTACTAAGCCTGGTGATAAGGCAGTTTTTTGCTGAAGCCGAGTTGCTTACTACTTCCATAAACATAATTATTTGTGAAAGCTTGCTGTAGTCTTTGGTGTCTGAGAGGCAGTATGATATTACTATGATATACCCCATTGCTTTGGTATTTCCTATCATGCAGTCAGATACCCAACAGCAAAGTCACTCTTTCTTGCAAGGTGGGGTTTTTTTGTGTGGTTTGTTTTTGTTTTGTTTTGTTTTTTTAATGTATTAATTCTGACATCCAGCAAAGTGGATAATTCGCCAGCAGTGAACATAATGATTAAGTCAAGAGGTAAACAATCAAGAGCAATCAGTTCCTGTATTACGTTATCAAAATGTTTTTGTGCCAATTAGATTTTGGGATTCATGGGGTTCAGAGGGGTAGATAGCTTAAGCAAGGATAAGTAATACCCATTTAGTCACTTAGTCTTCATAAGAAAATGGGATTTCCTTTTTCTTTGAATAATGTTACTGTGATTTGCCACAGGCTAAGTACTGAAAAAAAGAATGCAGCAGAGACTTTATACAAGTGTATGATACTGTAAATAGAAAAAAGTATCCTGTGTAATCCATTAATTCCTATGTGCCACAGATTATTGATGTTTTCAATGCACTTAAGTGTTGCTGCTGAACTCCTCGGAAGCCCTTAATTTCCCACCCCCCTTTTCAATCAAACATAAAGTGTACAACTTGGGAAGTAACATAGTAGAAGCTGCTATATCATCATTGCTACAGTGACATTAAATGTTACATGAGAAAAAATGTTAGGAAGACTTCCAGGCTTTCCTACAACTACTTGGTTTCCATTCATACTATAGCAATTCCATGTATTGCCTCCTTATTCGTAATGTACTACATACTGATGAATGTATTTGTAGATTTCTTTGGATACTGAGACTTGTTACTTTTTTATTTTCTTGGTTAATAACTCAGTCTGTGTAAGACTGAAGAATGGCATTGTAAATTTTCTATCGATTCGATACCAAAGCAAGAGATTGGAAGCCTAACGGTTTAGATATATTAAGTACTGTGGTTTTCAAAGATGAGAGCTTGTTTTGTACTTGCAAGGAGTATACACACCAACTATGTATACAAAGCTTACGTGTGTAAGCAGATGCTGAAGTACAATATCTACTTGCCTGTGGGGACAAGCACACATTTTGTAAATGCAGACCTGGTGCTCACACTGCTGAACTGCACCCTAAAGGTATTGGAAAGGCAAATACGAAGTGTCATCTTGTTGGAAGCTGACTTCTGTATACTATTACAACAGCTTGGCCTTGAAGAAATGTTGTTTGACAACAACTTTAAAAATACTTCCCATGAAGCCTTTTCACTTTAATTTTTTTGTGTTTGGTTGGGCTTTTTTATGGTGTGGTTTTTTTTTTTTACTACTTTAAAAGAGGGATGGCTAGGGAGAGGGGAAACTTAAGTAAACTATTCTAGTGCTGCTTGGAAAATGGCACTTTGTGTCCTCTGTCAGCAGTTCTGGCTGGAATTCATGTGTTCTCACAAGTCCTCCACTGACTGACAACTGCGCCCCATCATTTTGGATGTGAACTTTGCACTGTCAGGCATTGGAAAGGTGCTTTTGATCACTGCTGTAAAATTAGTGATCTCAATTTTATCATTTACTGCGCTATTGCTGAATTCTGTATGTATATAACACCTACAATGACAAATCACTGAGCTGTTTAGCAGCAAGCATCCATGTATGAGTTCTGCTGCTTGAACAGTATTTTGTAACAGTCATAGATGCACTGTCCTGTTTTCAACTACTTGTTCTGTCACAGCCTCTCATTCCTACTTTCCTGCTTCTGATGTTCTTTCCTTTCTTTGTCCTCTAGTGATCTCCCCTGCTGCTGTGGAGAGATCTGAATTGGCCCTCCAGAGGCTGTCCATCAATGATGTCAGTCATTGAAGGGAGGCTAATTCGGGGCAGCGTGGTGTAAGCAGAGGGTAGTGGCAAGAACTTTAAGTAGTGGATTAAATAAAAATGGAAAGTTTTAAAATGCAGGTATATAGTGAACCAGAGCTAGCCTTGAGTACTGGATTCCAGTATTAAAGTTGCTGCATAGATCATACACATCTAATTAAATATTTGGAGTGTGATTTCAACCAGTGCTTTTGTTACTCTTCTGTGAAGATCGTCATTTGATGTTCCAGCTGTTAAAACTTTAATATTTTTTACTTTGTTATCACAAGAGGACACAGATGTTACCATGTATTTAATAGTTTTTGAATAGAGTTGCTCTGTATTAATTGCAAAGTATTGTATTTTGCAATAACTCAGTAAATCAACCCATGTCACCAGTATGTGTGTTTGTCTGTACCTGCAAGGCATAGGAAATGATTACATACTGCCTTTAGAAGCTATTACATTTTATTCTATGCAATTGCATGCTGACAAATGCAGTGGTTCCTGAGCAGCCTACAGTACACACTAAGGTTTTGCTGCATTTTATTATTTTGTAACAGCAGATCTGATAATATGAACAGTTACATTATGCCTTCTGAAGTTTCTGTAGTATACAGGATAAGTCTTGTCTTAATTATTCTTTTTGGATTTGTTTTACTATTGGATGGGAGAGCCGAGTTGCAAGATGGTCTCATGACAGACCTTCAAAGAAGAAATGAGACTTCCTGTAGAAGAACTGTAAGACAGGCTGTCGGCAAGTAAACTTCTGCCAGTATAAAGGTGTCATTGAGTATCAGAAACACTTTGGCTTCCACTGCTGCCATAGTTTCCACAACAGCAATTTCCAGTTAGTTTTATACCTAAAACCTATTGTGAGCTGTTGATTGCTCCTCTGCTGTCTGCACTAGCCTGATGTCTAGTGCGTAAAGAAGCATGGCTTTCCCTTCCTTCCTCAGTTCCTTCTCTCCACAGGCATTGAATACAGGGACTTTCTGCCTTGCTGGGAAGGGCTTTTTTTCAATATGACTTATCTTTTTGAATACTGATTTATAGAGAGCCCATAAATCTGAGGTTGTAGTAAAATTTGGAATAGCCAGGAGTTAAGTTTTTTCATCCTCTGAGAAGAACAGCTAAGAGGCAAGTGTTGAGTTTGTAAATATCTTCTAAAGGGTGGGAAAATACCTGATTAAATGATTTATAAGAGCCACCTCTCTCACAGGACAGTGCTTGCTACATTGGAGAAGGCTTTTTTTAATGTCTTCATTGTGATCAATTAAAGCATTAAAAATACTGGAAAAAAACTGAAGCATTGGAAGAAACTTCCTTCAAGAAGCAACACTTGAAAAATGTGGTCCTTTGTAAGCATGGGGCTCTGCTACTTTTGAAGGATCACTCTTTATTTTGTGTCTTGGTAGTTGCTGTTGTGGGTAGAACTGTAATCAGCAGTGTCAGGGTAGGGCCAAATGAGCCAGACGGCTTCATTTCTGCTCAGTCGTCCTGTGGCACAACTTGCACACTATTTTGATAATATGATTTGGCACAGACTGGAAACTAGAGTGAAAGGCTGGCATGGTACTGATTGAAATGGGTATTGGTGTTCGTGCCTACTTTGATGTCTGAGTGCTCACATTCAACTACATCCCATTAACGTGCCCATAGGCCTAGAGACTACTCTCCTGTGCCACCGTTTTCCCACTGGTATTTCTCCATCTGGCCATGCTGGAGCACTGTAAGGACTACACCATCAGGGGTGGGGGTTTAACCAGAGGTATCTGAGCTGATTTTAAGCCTCGTATGTTCAAAATACCTGTTGCAGTACTCCGTCTCCCTATCCCTCTGGGTCTGCTCTGCCTTCTTATCTACCCATTGCCACCACATAGGTTTGTTCTCTGGAGCCCTGGCAGGGACTGGTCCTACTTCAACAAATTAAGGTAGTTCCCTAAAGGTGCAGTTTCACAGTTGGATGGAAATGTGTTTTGGACAAACACACATCCCACATTACTCACTTTGCTTTTGCTTTTTGCATGGTTGGTCAGGAATTGAGAACATACATTGTTATTCAAAGAAAGTGGAACTAGAAAGCCACAAGCTTTTTATACACTGGGCTGAAAGCACAAGACTGACCAGCCTCCTAGCTTGTGCCCAGCAAGTTACATGGTCTGTTATCTGTATGCCTGCTCACTCATCTGTCAATGCTGTGCCTGTGGCTGCAGGTGTAGCTCAGGTGCCTCCCCCTGTGCTGGTTTCGCGTGTACCAGCCCCTGCTGAAGCCAGCTGATATTCAAGGTCTGCCTGCTCCCAGCTCTTTTTGGAGTTAGTGATACACCTTTCACACTTCTCAGCACTTCTGGGTCCAGGAGGGCTTACTATTGAAAGTGTGAAGATAGATAGTAGGCTTTCAGGCTTTCTCACATTTTATATGGTACCAATCAGGCCAATAACCTGCCGGTACGTGAGAGTTCTATGCATAAACCACCAGGCTGGCTCTAGAAACCCAGTTTGGGTCTTGAAGAAGTACTCTTACTTGTTTTTTCTGTTTTCTGGAGGATTCTGGACCTGCTGTTGCCTTTGTACAGTTTGCTGTACATCAGCAGAACATCATGAAGAGCAGATCCTGCACAAATCCTCTGTAGTGTGTTTTTCACCTCTCTGTTCACTCTGGACAGCTGCTCAGCAAAACTTATCAAGTTCCCTCATACTCTAAAGATGAGTCCAAGTCATGGTTATCTCAAAGGACTTTGGATATTTTGGGGATCAATTTTTATTTCCAGCTCCTTCCTATGTCTTTAATTTGGACTGTATCTTCTTGTGTTCCCATCACCTCTCAGTAAAAGACCAGGATTAGTCTCTCATGCTTGGACTTTGCTTCTCTCACAAAGGAGCAGTCCTGCCCTCAACAGTCTAAATTATATTATGGTAAGACCAAGCAAGTTTTTACTTCAATTCAGACAAAAAGAAAGTCTGGGAAAGAATGTAAATTGTAAACATTGAATTCCTATAATCAGCAACAACATAAGTGCCAGACTATACTAAGCATACACATGGGTTTAATTTTCATAGTTTTCAGGGATCTCAGTTTGCAGATGATCATGAAATAACCGGACGGCTTATTTAATGTTTTTTAGACTAGGGGAATTTACAGCAGTGGCATTCCTATGGCCGTGATCCAAAGTATGTTCTACAACTGCTGTGCCCTCCAGTTCAGTATTTTGGTGGTTCTTGCTCAAAAAATGCATAAAATACTTGTGTGTATGTATATATACATATAAATCTACCAGACGAACTTTCTCATCAAAACGCTCAGGGCCTGGTTGAGTGTAGTCTCTGTGACAATGGCTGCTGTGCGCCTGGACACTTGGAAGCGTCCAAATCTGTATGTACCTCTATAATGCCCAGGACAATAAGCATTAATCTCAGTTACAGCCCCTAGGTGATGCTATAACACAAACACACAGAGAACGTGACCTGGATTTTCAAATGTTGCTTCTAATTTTGGGCTACTGGCTTTAGCCACCCTGGCTCCGTTTTAAAGACTTCGTAACTCCTGTTGACTTTAATTACATGTGCCGTACACACAGCCCTGCAAAGTGCCTGTGTTGTCAAACTTGCTGCAGAACAACCAAAGCAAAACAAAATCAAATTAGTAGCTTTGAGGAGGCTTTTAATTAAAACCTTAAATGATAGCTCTAGTCTTTGGAGAGCAAGAGCGAAAGGCTTCTATTTTGGTTCCTACCAAACACAGACTACCAATTTGTTGTCTAAGTACCTTCCCCGTTTGAAGGGAGCACTACTCTCTCCAGAGGATCTTTGGGATGAAGCTCTGGGCAGGATTCTTCTGGCTTTCCTCCTGTTCCCACTGCCTTTTGTGTAGGGCATTGGGGTGGGACAGGGTGACCGCTGTTTGAAAAGGTGGTTTGGTTTTTGCTCCCAGGAACTCAGCTGGAGCAGGCCACAGTCTCCAGTGCTGCGCGCTCGACTGAGTTTCTGGCTGTAGCCGTGAAGCCGTGAGTTTACCTGCTTGCTCAGATGAGCCCGTCCCTCATCCCTGCCGTCCTGTTTGGGAAAGGGAAGCCACTGTGTGCGGATTATTATTGCTTCATGTCTTTATGTGGCTCAGAGTTTAGGATGGTTCAGTATGTTTCAGTAAGTGTTCAGAGAACTTCATACCGTCTGCAAAGAATTCCCATTTTTCCAGTAAGAGCCACTGATTTTTTTTTTTAAGATTTGGAAAATCCTGTTAGTCACAAACCTTAACAGGGCACCGACCTGTACCAATTACTATGACTTCTATCTGTTAACACTGAGATGTTCCTATTGGCTTAGGAATAAAACCTCCAGATCATTTAACTTGTATGTGGCCAGCTGAGAGAAGAAATTGCAGCCCTCATTCCTTGCAGGGGGAAACACGGTGTCCTTGCTTTTCTCAATCCAGTTCTGTACAGGGTCACCACCGGTAGAAACCTGTAGCCTGACTTCAGTACTTGCTCTCACAAAACTATTACTGGAGAGCAAAAATAAAATACAGTGAAAAATACCACTAAAAGAAACATATTTCCATTAGTCAAATAAATAATCTGGAAGAAAACCAGGACCTTTTATTAAATGAGCTGAGACATTTAGGTTTGGGTGTTTTTCCCTATGTATGTGCTGTAAGAACAGTAGGTGACGCATAATGATGATTACAACTTTTTAAATATTCCTATTTCTGCCCATTTGCTGACTTTGCCATATTTGGATCCCCGATCTGGATCTGTGCATTCCATTTGCCCACATTTAAAATGCATTTGGAATAGCAGGACAGAGATTGGGGCGGAGAAACCAGATAGAGCTGAATTGCAATTTCCTGGTGACACGTTCTCTAAACATCCCAAAATATCTCTCAGGGTGACGTGTTCCGCTTGTTGACTTCAGGTTTCAGCAGCACACACCGTTCGTTCAGTCCCGGTGCTTTTAACAGGGATGGTAACATGATTACCAGTAATGATCTTTCATGCTGTAGTTTTCTTCTCGCACTGCTTCCATGTTGAAGGAATTTCTTTGAAACAATGCATAGGACATCATTGCAAACTTGATTGGGGGGGTGGCCAGTAAGTTCATGTTAAAGATTAGAAATGGGGACAAAGGGTAAGTGACTTGTCTACAATTCCTCAGGAAGCTGAAGGCAAAGAGAAGAGTAAGATCCCAGACCTTTGGTTCCCATGCTGTTACCAGAAAATTATCATGGGACTTGCTAAAAAAGGGCTTCTGTAGTAAATCCAAGAATGTTATCTGCATCTCTTAATCCCTAAAAATGAAAACATACTGTGTTACACAAAGAGGGAACAGGAGTGAGGTGACACCCTCCCTCCGTTCATACATTCTAGTCTTCATTTTATTTTGCTGGCTTACTTCAATTT